CAGGTTGGTGCATGCCATAACACCATATAATATTCTGAGGAACCCCATCGAACATAACATCAGCATTTTCTAAGAGTCGTTTAACGAACTGAGTTTTTCCACAACAAGTGGGTCCAGCGACAATGGCTCCAAAAGGGTGCTTTAGTCTCGTGTTCATTTCAACAGTAAATGGACCAAAAATCATTTGTCGAYTGATTTATATAACTTTTTCTCCGATGGAATAAGCCAATCGCAATTTTTTCTGGTATATTTTCGAACAACTTTAAACTGTTGAAGTTTCGCTTCTTGTAAATAAGGTTTTCTCTGTTCCGTTGACAAATCGTGAACTTGGGCTAGATGATTAGAAAGTTTCACTAGATATTTTGAACCACAAKTTGGCACTGGACAAGTCTTACAAATGCGTTGACTCATGCTATCAATATTATGTGTTAACGAAAATGACTCTTAGAATTCGAAAACGACGAATTTTATCGAAATTTCGAGGGACAAAAGGAATAAAAGGGACAAAAGGGACAAAAGCATATCTGTGTTTCGTGTTTTGAAGAGTCTTTATTTAATTGAAACAAACACTGTCAAAACCTATCAAACAATCATCATATACTATGTACACATTCATTAAATTCAGGTCAATTAAATATCTAAGAGGATTGTTGTTATACCATCCTCTAACACTTTTYGCTTGGGGTAAAAGTATGAAAACCCATTTCTGATTTGATTATATGTGTAAACACTGTTATTCACAACTCTGAAACCTTTGTTTACACCACTACTACTTTGTTTAGTTTGCAAGACACTAAGGTATTTGTCTTTGTTTACTTCACTACATCTCTTTGAAACACCCTTACAACTGTATTTATCGTTCGAACCAAAGAAGTAGTAGGTTTTCGAACAAAGACCTATGATTCCCTCCCCTGACCACTCCTCTTTAATAGACCCRGAGTTCGCTTATCGTATGCTGCGTTTGCTGCACTGTCGGTTCTTGGAAACCAGTTGCATATATCTTGATTATAATCCTCTTTCAACTCAGGCCTCACTAATTCCTCTAKACTGTTACCTGAGATAGCGATATAGGCCGAGTCCGCATCCATTTCACAATATTGGAAATMATTTCTGTCTACATATTTGTCAATAAAATCAAAGTAAAACTGAAGCATACGCAATTTTGCATATTGATATACAAAGAATCCGATCTGARGAGGTAGATTTAACTTAATGTTTTTCTTACATGACTGCACTTCGTATGTGTTTTTATCTATGCTGTCTATCTGTCTAAAGAAGGGTGAATTTATCAGTCGAGAGGCTTGAGATTCTTCACAGAACTTGGTATTGCGAT